CCCCGCCGCCGTCGCCGGCCACGGTGCCTCGGCGGAGCCGCGAGTTTGCCTTCAGCGAGGCGAACCGGTGGCTCTCTGAGCTGAGGGCGCTCCCTGAGTGATTTAATCCTTCTGCTTCTCATCCGACAGGAAAACAAAAGTCCCAGGCAATGCTTGAGGGAAGGGCATTGCAAAGGTTTGCAGCTCACGTTTTTTGCGTGCAAAAGGTCGATGGTAAGTGCCCGTGTGTGCGTTGCGTTTCTCCTCGCGGTTTGTTGCTTTCAAGTCCTTCTCTCTGTTTTTCAAAGAAAAAACCTTTAATTCAGCAAACAGAGCAGTTTTGATCCTCGGATTTCATATGGAATATTGTGAACAGCAAAGTTGTAGAGAGTGAGTAAGCTGGAAAAGATGCTTATTGAGATTGAATTTAGCTTAGAATGCAACAGCTGGGATAAGCGAGGTGGGTGCTCTCAGCATTGCTTTTAATCAAGCCTTGATTTAAGTATCACTTATAGATGCTATGGCTGTAAACTGAGGTATTGATTTAGGCTGAGTTCTGTCTGTGAAGTCATAGGAAAATGTGTACAGAGAGCACTCGAGTTGGAAGGCTGTTGTGTCAAAAGGCACTTCCACTACTGGTATGGATTTGTGTGCCTGAAAGTAAGCAGTGGGATATTAGAAGCACTTGGAAAATTAAGGAGTTTGGCTTTTTATCTTTTTAATAGTTGGTTATCAAGCTAAGTGGTGAGAAGCCAGCTGTGAACATGTAATTAGATAAAGTTTGCCTAGTTTTGATAGGAGTTCTTTGCCCAGAAATTGACAAGAGACATAAAAATATGCTGGGTATGTTAGTACTTGAAGTATGTATACTTGATGCTGCAGCATAACCATCTCCAGATGTCTGTAGATCATTAAGGGAGTTCAATGAAACAAAGAGTTTCAAGTTATGTGGGAGGCGGCCTGGCTCTCACAGGCTTCTGTTTAAATTATCCCTGGCCCCACCGATATTGCTGCTGACTCCTCAAACACAATCTGAATTTTCCTCATCCTGCTTGTCCGTTGTTTGGAAAAAGGGTCCTACTAGATTTACATTGCTTTGTATTCACGTGTCCGTGCTACTCTTTATTTGTGGTGTTACTGCGCTTACTTCAGAATGCACAGCGTGCTTACCACTTAACTTTGCATGAGATTTAAGGTATTGCTAAGTCTCTTGACTTGGAAAAGCCCTGTGAGTTGTTGGCTGCATTACTCACTTCCTGTACAGTGAGTTCTGCTTCATTTTGAACTTGATTTTGAAGCTACAAAGTGTCAAAGTAGCGTAAGTGCTCTGAAGCATTTCTTCTGCAAAATGAACTGTGGTATTTGTTTCTTGTCTTCAATTTTCAGCTGGATACCAGGACAAGATTCAGAGGAAGGAAGGGATACTGAAGTCCTTGGAAGAGACATGGGAAATTGGAGTTCATCAGTACTTTAACTGGAGCAGAGGCTAAAGTAAGAAGAATCTGTCTGCTGCACATTCTTTTGTGCAGTGCTTTCGTGGAAGGTGTCAACTTCTGGAAATTCTGATGGATGCCTGGCTGTGCATTTAAATGTTAAAAAGAAGGGAAGCATAAAGCTGCAAGTTCTGGCCAAAATGGGTACCTGCCACATGCCTGTAATAAAATACACAGAATCCAGAAAAAGCTGCTGAAGTTATCACTGTGTTATGGAGCAAAGTATTCTTTTGTAGTTATACTAATTCTGGTAATATTTTACCATCACAAATAATAGAAAATAACAAAATTTGACGTGAGTGGTGTGCCAGAGGATACCTCAGGGTAGAGCTGTTCCTAGAGAAGCTGAGTTGACAAAGGTGAGATGAGTGTGAGTTGCTTCCTTCCCAGTTAGTTTATTGCCCAGTACTCCTGCCCTTCTACTCCTATGGGTAGAAGTGGTGATGTCTTTACAGTGCCACATACATAAGGATGGTATCTCTTTCCTCATGATACAAATTCCTTTTAATGTAATTTTGCATGCTTATTGGCATGGTCTGATCTCATTGGACAACTGGATTAAAATTTGATTTCTGTATATTAAAGGATGTCTGATCAATCTTATTGTAATCTGTCTTCTCATTGTATCAACACAGGTACAGGAGAATAATGGCAGTGTTCTTTTTGATAACTTGAGAGCTGTATGCCAGGCTGTGGCTGATAGCATGTGTTTGGGTGTGGGGGGAGTGGGATCCTGACAAGCCAAAAGGCAAGGAGACTGTGGTCACTCTCACTGTGCTCTAGAAATGTTTAGAACATCTGTAAGATCCTCTGAGATGCCCCTGGACCATCTTTTTGCATCACTTTTCAGTCAAGTGCATAATATTTGTCCAAACATATGCACAAACTAGAGATGATGATTTGGACTTGTTTGTTGGAAACTGCAGTCCACAGATTCTGAACATATTTCTTGTTTTCACTTCTCTCTCTGAATTCTTTGGTTTGCATTTATGGATGTAAAATGTTCATATGCAGGTAAATTGCAACAGATTTCTATTAGTACTTTTAAAAAGCTTGCTTCTCCCTTCGATTTTTTTTTTTCTCATGTTTAAGTCAAATCTTGAGTAATTTCATAATTTATGGAACAGCAGTAGTGAGAAAACGAACAAATTAATGTAGGAAGATATTGTTTTGCTCTCCTTTGATCAAGGATGACTGGCAGATCTGTCTGCAGATGGAGTGTGTTCTTTGAGACATTATAGGTAACACATCAGTTAGTCTTTTGTCCTGCCTTGGTAAGGAAGAAGGATTTATGAGGATATCAGACAATAAATAGCACTAAAACCATGACAGAAGTCAATATTTATTCTTTCTATTTGAGAACTTGCTTCTGAAGAACTTGTTTTTCCTTCCCTCAGTGTGTCTACCTCTTTCTCTGCCTCTTAAAGCCTTTAAGAAATATATGATAATGTAATTCATATGTGTGGAAGCTCAAATAATTTCAGACATGCTGATTAGAAGCAAGATTAGGAAATAGAAAGGAAAGAGACATTGAAACTTCTTGGCTAAAATGCACAGCCACAGAGCTGGCTTACATTTAGTCTGACCAGATGGATGCAGTGATTATTATTTGTAAAATCAATAACTTCAGTGGATGAGCACATTGGTGATGCAATTCTGTCTGTCTTAAGCAACAGCTCTGTGATGAGTCAATGTATGTTTACTTTCCTTCTTGTGTAGGATTTGCGTATTATTGCAATTGTAAATCAACACTGACTTCACATTTTCATTTTCTGCCTATCATGTGAAAGCTGCTCTGTGTATGGAAGTACTGCAAATATTCTTTGTTTTCTCCAATCTAGGTACCAGTTTCTCTTTATACGCATGCTGAATTGATTAATTTCTGTGATGTCTTTTAACAGTCTCCATGACTTAGCTGTATAATTTCAAAGTGTTACAAGTCTTCTGTGAAGATACATATACATACATATATATTTAAGGAAGAATAAAAATAAATATAAAGCCACTTAGCAGATAATTAAATATCATTTGCAGTGATGCTGCAGAAGTTCCTCTTGGGAACGAGCAGGCAGGAGAGCACAGGCAGGTGACGAGTTGAACCTATTGTTTTGTTGTTGGCTTAAGCCAATGGAGGTCAAATGCTAAAGTAAATCTAGTGTTTGCTACTGAATGCTTCAGGATTTCTTAAGTAATTTAACACGAGATTAATACTGCTCGATCTGATAGGAAGCTTTAGCACTAAGAAGTTCTAATGGTTCACTAGACTATCTATGCCAATATAAAAATATGTATGTATCTGAGTACTGACTTGCTCTAGAGACTGTTCAGTGCCAGTATTGTGTGACATAACATTCTGTCTAAAAACGACTAATTACATAATTGCCTTGGGAGTATGAGCAATGTCCTACTTGAGAGCTGTTAATGTTTCCTGTGTGATTTATAAAAATCCTGTTTTATTAATGGAAAACCTCAAGTACTCTAAATTTATGTGTATGATTCCAACTTTTTTTCCTGTGGCACAAAAATGTTTTCCTTTGAATAATCCGATGTTAAGTCTTTTTTGTTGTTCTATTCCACTGTTATTTATTTAAAAATACAGATTTCTGATCTGTGGTGGATTTTTCAAAATTGAACACATAATGTCTTTGAACCTGTGACAGAAAGTCGAAGTGGCACCCAAAGCCATGCCAGTGATTTCTATTGAGGAAGTACAAAAAAACATTTCCATTGCTGCTCTCACTTCTTCCATTGGTTTCAGGTGGTGGCAGAGCCCAAGGGTGCTGGAGGTTTGCAGGTTTCGCACTGCGGCTCAGGCAGTGTTAGGACATGCCTGTGTCATTACTGTGTATAATTTCATCACTTCATTTGTTCTCTTGATGGTCTGGTCCTGCAAACACTTCTGCATTTGCATAGCTGTGAGCATGTACTGCGGAATCATAAAAATGTTAAGATTGGAAAAGACCACTAAGATCATCTAATCTAACCCACCCCCACCATGCCCACTGACCACATCCCTCAGTGCCACATCCACACGGTTCTGGAACACCTCCAGGGGCGGTGACTGCACCACCTCCCTGGGCAGCCTGTGCCACTGCATCACCACTCTTTCTGAGAAGAAATTGTTTCTAACACCCACCCTGACCCTCCCCTCGTTCAGCTTGAGGTCATTCTCTCTCATCCTAACACTGTTACCCAGTAGAAGAGGCCAACCCCTATCTCATCACAACCTCCTTTCATGTCATTTTAGAGAGTGATGACATCTCCCCTGAGCCTTCTCTTCTTCAGACTGACATTCCCTCAACTGCTCCCCATGAGACTTGTGCTCTAGACCCCTCAGAGCTTCGTTGCCCTTCTTTGAACATACTCCAGGGCCTCAGAGTCTTTTTGGAGTGAGGGGCCCAAAACCAAACAGCACTCAAGATGCAGCCTCACCAGAGCTAAGAACTTACCTGCTCCTGCTGTCAACACTATTTGATACAAGCCAGGATGTCATTGGCCTTCTTGGCCACGTGGGCACACTGCTGGCTCACGTTCAGCTGGCTGCAGTCGCATACTGTGGTCTGGAAATTCTTTCACAATTCTTCCTAGTTGATATGAAGAGAAGAGCATGCTTCTTAAGCAGAACCTGTTTGGTGAAGGCCCACGTGTATGTACTGAGAAGCGAAAGAAAGGGACTGCTTTTCAAGAAGGATACACTGAGTAACATTTATTAAGTTGCCCGTCTTGAAAGGAAAGACAAGGGTTTTTAATAATCACTTAAAGTTTTTCTGCATCTCAGGTGCACGTATTTGTGTTACAAAGACCTTCACTGTTCACTGGTTGACCGAAGAAACAAGCTATATATTCTTCACTTTTAAGTTTCTGGGAAGTAGCAGGTTGGATGGTGGAGTCTAAAGTTTTGAAATATACTTTAAAAAACAAACAACAAAACAGCTTTTTATATAGTGGTTTTATTTCAGAAGAAACCTAGAACAAACTCTGCTGGCAGTTCCTGCTTATAAGAGGCACTGAGGGAAGTCATCTGCCAGTTACTCTGGCACAGAACGCAGGTGGTAAGCAGCGTCTGCTGTGCAAGTATTTTGTTGGAAACTGAGAAATACAGAACTGCAGCAGCTTTGTTGACATGGTGGATTTCAGCGAGTGCTCGTACTGCCTTAGCAGTTGATATGTGGTCATTTAGGATATGCATATCATATACCTGTATCAATCACTGTGTAAAACTTGACATTATGGCAGTTTATTTTCCATTGTCAACTGCAGTTGACAGAATAGTAACCAAAAGCCTTAAGATCCTTTCTCCTTTCTTCTTCTTCCAAATGGGGCGTCTTGAATTTCTGCTTTATCCGTCTCTGTCATGGATTTACCATGGATAGCTTCAAAAAAGTATTTAGCAGGTATTTCTATAAGTAGTGGATTCCACAGTGATGTGTTTGACTCTGCTGGGAGAAACTTCTGTAAGAGTAGAGGGTCTCTTTTTGGAGTGAACTACTGTTTATTCTCAGTATTTACAGTGGTTGGTTAATAATGCACTTAAACATCAAAGGAAGAAGAAATAACAAGAGGAGCATTCTAATGGTCACTTAATGATGTTGATAGCAGGCGATATATTTCAAATATTGGTATATTTAGTAGATGAGCATTGAATTTATTTTCGTGTCAAGCTGAGGCATTTTTTTTCCCTGCTGAAAGCTTCTGTGTGCATCATTGTTTGCATCTAGGCAGTAATGGGTGGTGGTGAAATGGAAGGTAATTATTGAAGATTTTTGGTAACGGAGGTAGTAAGTGCATCTCTATGACTTAGTACAAGATATCCAAAATGATTCTGCAGTATCACTACTATTATTTTAAAAAGGAGCAAGGGAGAAAACAGAATGTAAAAATAGTTTTTTACAATTTCTATCATAAATGCACTACTGCAAACTTATATATTGTCCTTCGTTATCATGATGAGTGAGGAATATTATTTTTCCAGACAATCTGTGGCAGGAATTTGAGTTGTTTTGCTGGGGGAGGTTTTGTAGTCTTCCTTGTAAGTAGGTCACAGAGGTCTGATATTTGGTGGATCCTGCTTGTGTCAGGCTTTTGTTTCTCCATCAGCTGTACCTCTGTAATGGTTATAGCAGAATGGTTTCTGGAAATTTGGGTGGGAGGAAATCTCTTACAGGCTGACAAAGAGGAGGATATATAGAGTATGCTGATGGGATCACCAGTTGTCTAACATTTTGAATTGCTCAGTACAAACCCAGAAATTACACAAGGTCCATTTTCAGCAGAGATGAGAAATCTGGTAAAGCGTTCTTTCTCCTTCTTGTCAGTTAAGGTAAGAGGGTTTAACAACCTTCACCCAAGTCAAACCTCCTGCTAGTTGGAATTTTTATGCTAGGAAGAACACCTTTCTGTTAGGAAAGTGTATACTTATTATTGGAATTTGATTTCAGCTTCCACTTACAGGAAAAGTTGAGGGCTGGCTCTGCAAGCTTATATTTGCTTTCTGGGAATGTGTTTAAAACTGAAGGCAGAGTAACCTGGGTCTGTTCAGCCTTGGGAAAAAGAAGACTGAAGAGGGATCTGACTGATGTTTATAAATATGTAAAGGGA